CTTACTGTTCCTGTCGACCTGACACGTGGATCTAGCCTGTAAAAATGAAAAATCGCTACATTGTAGCAATTTCACTGAGATATGGGCCTTGAAAATCATGTAATTTTAGCAAAAAATTAAGAAATAACCTGCAATTTTGACGGAATTTCGGAGGGCTTTCTTTCATTCATGACCCTCCACGGGCCTCTTATGACCATTCTTATACTCACAGAATGGTTGAAAGTGATTTCAAATCATTGTTTGCCCTCGGAACTATTTTGACCTACATCGCTATTTTCGTAATTCAAATGAAAGTTGAACTCCTCCTCTTTATTTTGATACCAAATAGTGGCATACTAGGTACCCTAGAAGCCAACTATGGCGTTATTTAGAACAATACCTCGAGTTTTTAAATGGACTATATAGGGGTCATATTTTGACCTACATCGCTATTTTCGTAATTCAAATGAAAGTTGAACTCCTCCTCTTTATTTTGATACCAAATAGTGGCATACTAGGTACCCTAGAAGCCAACTATGGCGTTATTTAGAACAATACCTCGAGTTTTTAAATGGACTATATAGGGGTCATACCTTTTGGCGGATGGATATGGAACCTCATACCTTAATGTTTTATGACATCACACTGATTTTTGTCTCTGCAACTTTTTTTGGCAGAAAATATCATTTCTAGTTCAAAAATGCATAAAAACGTCGGAACTGGCTGAATATGTGAAAAATTTATCCATTTAGGCTAGAAAGGGTTAATTTGCCCTACCCCAAATACGTCTAAATATGCTAGCCTAACTTTGCCACTGTGACGTCACAAATCTAACCTGACTATCTCTGAGTTTATTGAAGAAAATGATACGTCTGACAAACAGCTTTCATTCCCTATATGGCACACCTTATACTAAGAGTTGCATCATTGACTAAATCTAAGACAAAGGCCCTGTGTCCCGAGGATTTTGACTGAAATTTGGCCATTTTCGCCCAAATCTAACTAAATTGCAGTTTCCCTCACACCTGTATTTTAAAATAGATATTGCTACAATGTAGCAATTTAAAAATCACACATGCTTACTGTTTCTGTCGACCTGACACGTGGATCTAGCCTGTAAAAATGAAAAATCGCTACATTGTAGCAATTTCACTGAGATATGGGCCTTGAAAATCATGTAATTTTAGCAAAAAATTAAGAAATAACCTGCAATTTTGACGGAATTTCGGAGGGCTTTCTTTCATTCATGACCCTCCACGGGCCTCTTATGACCATTCTTATACTCACAGAATGGTTGAAAGTGATTTCAAATCATTGTTTGCCCTCGGAACTATTTTTGACCTACATCGCTATTTTCGTAATTCAAATGAAAGTTGAACTCCTCCTCTTTATTTTGATACCAAATAGTGGCATACTAGGTACCCTAGAAGCCAACTATGGCGTTATTTAGAACAATACCTCGAGTTTTTAAATGGACTATATAGGGGTCATACCTTTTGGCGGATGGATATGGAACCTCATACCTTAATGTTTTATGACATCACACTGATTTTTGTCTCTGCAACTTTTTTTGGCAGAAAATATCATTTCTAGTTCAAAAATGCATAAAAACGTCGGAACTGGCTGAATATGTGAAAAATTTATCCATTTAGGCTAGAAAGGGTTAATTTGCCCTACCCCAAATACGTCTAAATATGCTAGCCTAACTTTGCCACTGTGACGTCACAAATCTAACCTGACTATCTCTGAGTTTATTGAAGAAAATGATACGTCTGACAAACAGCTTTCATTCCCTATATGGCACACCTTCTACTAAGAGTTGCATCATTGACTAAATCTAAGACAAAGGCCCTGTGTCCCGAGGATTTTGACTGAAATTTGGCCATTTTCGCCCAAATCTAACTAAATTGCAGTTTCCCTCACACCTGTATTTTGAAATAAATATTGCTACAATGTAGCAATTTAAAAATCACACATGCTTACTGTTTCTGTCGACCTGACACGTGGATCTAGCCTGTAAAAATGAAGAATCGCTACATTGTAGCAATTTCACTGAGATATGGGCCTTGAAAATCATGTAATTTTAGCAAAAAATTAAGAAATAACCTGCAATTTTGACGGAATTTCGGAGGGCTTTCTATCATTCATGACCCTCCACGGGCCTCTTATGACCATTCTTATACTCACAGAATGGTTGAAAGTGATTTCAAATCATTGTTTGCCATACGCAGAACGAAAAAATCGATTCTGCTCTCAAATTCTGCTAGAATATTGGTCTCTGGCCAACTAGCAGACAATTTTAGGCCTCATATTAAGGTATGAGTACCGTAATCCAACACCAAATTCGAAAATTCAGAACAATACTTTGCACATATGGCGTTCGTGACCAACTATAAAACGCTTACCCCCCATAGTGTTATATATCAAAATGTACCTGTTCATATAGGGGTTCGATTGATCTACATCAAATTATAGGGAGTCAGGTTACTTTTTGAGATATCAGCGTCCATTTATTGTGACTCGCGTTTGCTACCACTTCCTCAATTCTGATATGATGGGCAAACGCGTAGTAAACATGCTCACGTCGGAACTATTTTTGACCTACATCGCTATTTTCGTAATTCAAATGAAAGTTGAACTCCTCCTCTTTATTTTGATACCAAATAGTGGCATACTAGGTACCCTAGAAGCCAACTATGGCGTTATTTAGAACAATACCTCGAGTTTTTAAATGGACTATATAGGGGTCATACCTTTTGGCGGATGGATATGGAACCTCATACCACAATAGTAAACATGATTGATGAGCAAATAGATAATAACTGTGACGTCAGAGGAATTTTTTTAGATATAGAATCTGCGTATGACGCTGTTCCGCATTATTTGCTGTTAAAAAAGTTAAAATCATATGGTTTTTCTGATACCATTATTAACCTGATTAAGTCTTACTTGACAAATAGATGTCTCCAAGACAAAGGAAATGGGGAGTTCTCAGAACGTTCCCCAGATGCTTTTATCAACAGTTCAATACCTCAAGGATCAATAATTGGACCACTTTGCTTCCTCCTGTACATAAATGACCTTAATGAGGTTCTTAATCATAGTCAATTATATCTTTATGCTGACGACAGCTCCATCTTTTTTCCTTGTGACAGAAACAAAAATATTTTTGATCTCCACAGAAATTTTCAATCTGACATAGATAAACTTTCAGAATGGTCCCTTAAATGGAAGTCAATTTTTAAACCCTCAAAAAGTGTAGAAATTATTTTTAAGGGATCAAGAAGGAAATACCTTCAACACGCGCCTGTCTTTTTAAGCAATGAAAAAATTAACAGATCAAGTGACCACAAACACTTAGGAATAATATTAGATGAACACTTATCTTTTAGGCCTCATATACTAGAAACTATTGATAAATGTAACACAATGTTAAATCCTTTGAAAGCTCTAAAAAACAAAATAAGATCAAAACATTTAGAAAAAATGTATCTGTCATTTATACTCCCCAAAATGGAATATGGAAGTATTTTATTTGAAAAAGCGACTAAATATGACCTTGCTAAACTTGATCAGGTGCATTATAGAGCTGCCTTACTAATAAGTGGGTGTATTCAAGGAACCTCAAAAACTAAATTATTTAAATCATTAAATTGGAATGAACTGTCTACTAGACCAGATGAAAAATATTTAAAGTTAATGTACCAGGTTAAAAACAAGACTGTCCCCTCATACCTTCAAAGAATTTTTGACCAGCATAGAAATCCGGTACAAAATGTGAACCTTAGAAGGATTAGACATTTTACTGCCCCAAAGCCAATTGGCTCCTTTTCCAAATCTCCAGTTACTAGAGCAATACGTTTATGGGAAAAGCTCCCAACTGATCAAAAAGAAAGTAAAAGTTTTGCTAGTTTTAAGAGAAGTGTCAAAACTCATCTTAAAGATAAAAATTTACCATTACCTACATCTCAGTTAGAACTATCACGAAAGAGTGAAATATTCTTAAATCGTATTAGATGTGATTTTATTTTCTCTGGCCATTTTTTCTTACATAATTTTAGAGATTAGAAAGTCCAAAATGCTTATGTGGCTACAGAGAACAAACTTCAAAACACCTTATCTTCAATTGCCCGCTGTTAGTTAAAGAAAGAGAAGAACTTTGGGGGGAGCTTAGGGTGATGCCAGAACTGAACCATTTCTTTTTAATTGGATGCACTTTAGAACAAAAGACCAATACACTTTTGTTTGGAGATGATTTAGTGAATAACAAAATCAAAGGTTGTGTATTTAAGATTTTTACTAACTTTCTCTGTAAAATAATGGAAATTATTTGAATTATCAATTTATAACATTTAATCAGTTGTTTCAACAAAAAGCCATCTGTAATAATTTGTATGTTGTATTCTCACAGGGCCAATAATGCTTTCGCCTAGGCCCTGTTAATGTATTATATATATATGATTTCAATAAATGAACCATAAAAACTAAACTTAAACATATGATGTGCCATGAGAAATTAACAGAATTTGCATAATGTACCTGAACTGATATGGCCTTATGACCACCGAGCTAATAGTCCTGATGTAAACCCCAGTGAGTATAGGGTACAGGAAGGTATCCAGGAGATGGTATAAAGGTATCCAATTGCAAAAATTGCTCAATTGGTAATTAAGACAGGTAAAAAGAAACTTAGTCAACATTTCATTGATACTGCTATATCAGGATTGCGACTAAGACTTTAAGGCTATCATCAAAGAGGTTGGCGGACCGATCAAATTCCTCTTTTAGATCAAATACAATTCAAGTTGAAGGACTTGTTATATTTTTTTATTACTGGTGTATGTAGGTTGGCATCCTCCGATCACAGGGCTTCAAAATCCAGAATATACGGGTTCCGGACAATTGCTTAGGAGGATGGTAGATTGAAAAATGAAAAAGTTATAGTGTCTTGAAAAAAAGTGGCGTTTTCTGGCCCACCCTGTATAAAACATGGGTAAAATATACTGTGTTTTCTTTTCCAGCCTTCTATTTGGGTTGCTTCAAAGATACTAACTCACGTGATATGCATGGGCTTGGTATACAGAACGGTTATGAAAACTCACTGATGACAGTTGAAATGTGCACAGATCATTGCCGCACAAGAGGTAAGTACATTTTTAGAATATTACTTCAACGGGTGTAGTCATCTTCTGAGAAATGACGCTTACATCCAAAAATAGGTCTTAATCGTAAAAGTGAAAGAGTCGTTGGCCACAAAGTTACTGACCACAACAATCTAGTTATCTCATTTTGCAATGCTTATTTGCTTATTTTAACATTTTTATGTTCATAATCGTCGAGTTGTTCCCAAACGCATTTTGCATTATACATGTACATTAGCTAAGATTACTTAATGCATTCATAGATACAGTAACTGAACGATTTAAGATAGACCTACTTATTGCATTAATAGAAAACTAAAGTAGTGAGAATACAACTATCTTTCTGAAATAACTAGGTGCATTCGTAGATAAAGAAAGTAGTGAGAATACAGCTATCTTTCTGAAAGAACTAGTTGCATTAATAGATAACTGATATAGTAAGAATACAGTCAGTTATCTTTCTGGAATAACTAGTTACATTAATAGATAACTGAAGTCGTGAAAATACAGATATCTTTCTGAAATAACAAGTTGCATTGATAGATACTGAAGAATTGAAAATACGATTATCTTTCTGAAATTACTAGTTGCATTTAATAGATAACTGAAGTAGTGACAATACAGTTATCTTTCTGAAATAACGTGTTGCATTAATAGATAACTGAAGAAGTCAGGAAACACCTATCCACCGGCGATAACTTGATAACTTCTAGACAACAATTGTCCCAAACTGCTGAGCTACATATAGCAGTTTGTAATTGTTGAACACTGTGGCTAGTCGATCTATGTGGATGAAGTCATTTATATGCAATGTATCGTGGGTGCTCGCGTACATTATAGGGAATGGGATCATTGCAAAAATATGTTGCATTTGCCACTATGATGCCACTATGTATCATTTGGATTCAGAACGGTAACAAATGGATGCTATAATAAATTATACTTTTATCATGATGATTTATTTACTGATGGACAACTGGCCAGATTTTCTTTGTATCCATTGTTTGGATAAACATTCCTCATTCAGTAAAGTAATTAGCCACATCATTACAAGACACCCTCATTAAGAATTGAAAATACTATATATAAACCCATCAACTGGAAAATGCCATTACAGATGAAAAAACTATGGTTTTATCCCTAATACTGTTAATTTGAAAATCGGGTCCATATCGTGTCATGTAATGATGACAATGAAAATGTTGAAATTAGGTACGCCAATGAAGTGAATTCAGAGCCAAAGACCCATCAACCCACTGGAATACCCACAAATCAAGTTTCATAGCCTTGCCCAAGTCGGTCTCTTTTACTTTTCTTGATTTATATTATGACCGCCTTGTACCCAAGAGAAAGCCACGTGCTTTACCGACCCAATGTTATTGTCGGTAAAATTTGACCAATCAACGACGGCCCTACATTGCCGGACTAGGTCTTCTTGCATTTCCATCGCGAATTCAGTTTTGATTTTGAATTAACATTGAATTACACGATTTCATTTATACGAGTATTATGACTGCTTACATTCCAATGTACATTTAATAACATAATATATTGTAACTCTCAAGAAACACTCGATCAGATCAGATAACGTTTTGATTGGTCAATCAGCCTGAAGTCACACGTCGTGTCCATGCGATCTTGTCAATTAATAAGGTTTTGCGATACCCGTAGGAAGCGTAGGTATTATGGGAATCTCGGAACCACTGAATAACTTAGCATAATATCAGCGATGATGCATTGGATTGTACAAGGTGGCAATAATTCAAGATCAGATAAGTAAATAAGTACCGACTTGGGCAAGGCCACAAGTTTCAGAGCCATTAACATTCCTTAAAAGTGACAATGAGCAGCCAACATATGGACCATCCGTAAATCTTGACAATTTTGTCAGCTCAGCTGAACGAGCCTACAGATTCCTTGAAACAAATTCAGGAATAACATTATCTATTTACAATTTTTTTGAAATCGTGGTAAGTGGAATCTTTCCAATTACCAATATAGCATTATTATTGTTTTTGGACACTGTGGATTAAAATATTTAAAATACACACATTCAAAATGATTCAATTAAAACCTAGCCAGTCTGTTCATTGAATCCATTCAGAACGTCTACTAATCCACATGATACACATAATTAAATTGGTTTTTTAGAGCGGATATTTCATACCATAACCCAAAAAATATTATAAAACGCATTGTATTTGTATTTTACTTGACACAGACATATTTGTGTACGTGAAATAATTATATTACTTGAAATTTTTATTCCCCATTATAAGGTAAACCTATGGCAAATTATACACAGCTCACAGCTATGAGCGAGATGATAAAACTGGTCGAGTGAACTCGTTTGAGTTATCTATTCTTCGTAAAAATATCAGAGAATGTGTGTTTATAGCATAGCTTTGGTTTTGTAAATCAATGAAGCATGATATACACGGATGAGTAAATATCTCTCATTGAAGAGTACAGAGGCGACCACCCACGATACATTGCATATAAATGACAGCATCCACATAGATACACTAGCCACAGTGTTGAACCTTTCTTAAATTTTTCCTTACTAGGTGTTTGTATTTTTGTCTATCCAAATTGTTTTTTCACCTAAAATTGTTTTTATTTAAAATATTGTAACAAAATTTTGATTTTAATTTTTTGGGATTTAAGTGCTTCACAGTTGAGATTATTAAGATCTTTGATTGTAGTATCGATTAAAGCACTTTATTTGTACTTACAGAGGTGTTAGCAACTTTTTATTTTATCGAGTTCAGATTTAGTTAATGTTGATCGGGTAGTTTTACCAGTGACTATGGTTACGGTTGATCGAGAACTCTTGACTATCATTTTACAGAAATTATCACTTCCTGTTTTCAATTCGATCAAATCGAAGCGTAATTAGACTAGATAGCGATCATTTATGGTTATATTTATTGAGTGTATACTATAATCTTGTTGATTATGTACCAAACATGTATTGATATTGGGTGTAAAAGCCGAGATCGTGATTTGTAAGTGAAGCCAGTTATTTTTACGAAACTAATATCCTGATTCAGTGATTACATCCGGTGACGAGGTATTGCATCAGCCATTCACGTGATCATACTACATGTTCCATACATGTCAGGGGTATAAATACGGAGTGAGCATACAACAAGCCAGACACGTAGGCAACTTTTGATTGGAACACATCTCCCGTGCCAGTGTTTCATTTGGGAATTGATGAGAAACTTAGAAGATTTGCTGGATCGAGGAACTTTGTCATTTCCAGACATAGTTTAGAATATTCCAGCCTGTTTGAAGAAATACTGCTGGATCGAGGAACTTTGTCATTTCCAGACATAGTCTAGATAACTCCAGCCTGACTGAAGAAATACAGCTGGACCGAGAAACTTTGTCAATTCCAGGCATAGTTTAGAATATTCCAGCCCGTTTGATGAAATACTGCTGAACCGAGAAACTTTGTCATTTCCAGGCAAAGTTTTAGAATATTTCAGCCCGATTGAAGAATTACTGCTGGACCGAGAAACTTTGTCAATTTCAGGCATAGTTTAGAATATTCCAGCCCGTTTGATGAAATACAGCTGGACCGAGAAACTTTGTCAATTCCAGGCATAGTTTAGAATATTCCAGCCCGTTTGATGAAATACTGCTGAACCAAGAAACTTTGTCATTTCCAGGCAAAGTTTTAGAATATTTCAGCCCGATTGAAGAATTACTGCTGGACCGAGAAACTTTGTCATTACCAGACTTAGTTTATATTATTCCAGCCTGATTGAGAAGGAGTGCCAGAAACTTGTATTTTCAGGTGTTATTAAGTAACTTGTTTTTCTATTGTTAACTTGAGAAACTTTGCCATTTTTCGAAATCAATTGTTAACTTGAGAAACTTTGCCATTTTTGAGATCGAGAAACTTACATTATTCTTTTCATAATTTAGCTAACTTGAGAAACTTTGATATTTTTGAGATTGAGAAACTTACATTATTCTTTTCATAATTTAGCTAACTTGAGAAACTTAGCCATTTTTTTTAGATCGATTATTTTTCATCAATTTGCTGACTGAAGAAATACTGCTGGACTGAGGAACTTTGCCATTTCCAGACAAAGTTCATAATATTCCAGCCTGATTGAGGAACTTTGCTGGATTGAGAAACTTTGTCATTTCCCGACATAGTTTATACAATACTCCAGCCTGACTGAAGTAATACTGCTGGACTGAGGAACTTTGCCATTTCCAGACAAAGTTCATAATATTCCAGCCTGATTGAGGAACTTTTCTGGATTGAGAATCTCTGTCGTTTCCCGACATAGTTTATACAATATTCCAGCCTGTTTGAAGGACTCTGCTGGATTGAGGAATATTCCAGTCTGATTGAGGAAGTACAGCTGGATTGAGAAACTCTGTCCTTTCCCGACATAGTTTATACAATATTCCAGCCTTACTGAAGAAATACTGCTGGACTGAGGAACTTTGCCATTTCCAGACAAAGTTCATAATATTCCAGTCTGACTGAAGAAATACAGCTGGACTGAGAAACTCTGTCATTTCCCGACATAGTTGATACAACTCCAGCCTGTTTGAAGGACTCTGCTGGATTGAGGAATATTCCAGCCTGATTGAGGAAGTACAGCTGGATTGAGAAACTCTGTCCTTTCCCGACATAGTTTATACAATATTCCAGCCTTACTGAAGAAATACTGCTTGACTGAGGAACTTTGCTATTTCCAGACAAAGTTCATAATATTCCAGCCTGATTGAGGAATTACTGCTAGACTGAGAAACTCTGTCATTTCCCGACATTGTTTATATAACTGAAGCCTGATTGAGAATAAGTACCAGAAACTTAGCTCATTTGGAGGAGCTGTTGAGGAACTTGGAATATTTTCACTCAACCTGGATGACTTAATGAAAACTAAGTACGAGACACTTAGTTTATTTGGGAGCTACCAGGGAATCTTAGGCAGATTCCACATATTGAGGAACTTAGAGGATCTTCATCGATT